TATTATTAATAGTAAAATTCGGTCCGATTTTCCCACGGCTGTCGTTGCTATACAACCATGCACTGCGCTCTCCACAACGACAAAGAAGTTTTAGTAGCTAATGGATTTCCACCACAGAAAAACGCTTGCTGTAGCTCTGCTAAAAGATTTATTTACGGAGAAGAGAAAAACACCCACGTGTTTGGGTGCACCCCCATTCTGAAATGTTTAAAAATTTTCATCTCGCTGCTCCTGGAAAAAATGAGCGCGTCGCTTCAATTATGAAATTATTCAACAACGACCTCGAGCGCGCAAAAGACGTGATATGTGAACGGCCCCTTGGTGAGTTACCTCCAACCAGGAGACTCCCTTGACATCGCTTCTGTGCACGGCACCTTCTCAGCAAGCAGGGGCGCCATTGCCAATAATTGAATTGAAATTATAGAAAATAGAAAACCTTCGTGGCGCAGAGGATTTTTTTTAACTGCTCGTGCCGCCCCCCATGTGACATGAAAAAATGCCGCCCCGGGCGACTGCCCGGTTCGCCCGTGCCTAAAACCGCTACTGACTGTACATACATGTATCCCCGGGTTTAAATGTAGAATTCTGTATCCGTAGTTTCAATTATTAAAACCATATTCTTGATTGCTTTCTGTCTAAGAGCTTATATTACAAGTCAATGAAATGATGATCTTTATAGCTACAAAGCTTTACAAGTTGTTACTATTTCAGTAACCTAAATTTTATAAACACAAGAAAATTAATGTTCACGGCCGGAACATTGATATTTCTTGGAGTTTATAAAAAGGGATAACTTCGTTGAGAAGTTGGTAAGTTAATCTTACGGCTGTTTGCTGGACAAACCGATTGTTTGATAACTAAATTAATTCCCTTAAAGTTATCTCATAAAATCGATCTGTAATGAGACCATTGATATATGAATGAGGAATTATAATTCGTTATGATTTATCATTCATATATACAATCGATCTATTTTCAATTTCGATAAGTTAACTGTAATATGCAATATATTAATCATATTTCATGATTAATTATTAAAATTCCCTATATATAATTTTGAGCTAATTAAGGCAAATCTCAATGTTGCTACACTGGACATTTTTATGTTCTTGTACTGTTAGAAATCAGCATTCCTATAATGTTGAATTTTAAATCAAAATTAAGTTGAAAGAACGTTTGAGGAACATTATACCTTTTAAAACACGACTATAACTCTAACGTCAAGAAAACTGGACATTTTTCACGTTCCCAGAACCAACACTGAATATTTGGAGAACGTTATCATAACAAAAGTCTGTTAGCTGGGAATGTACTGTTATAAAAATATGTACAGAGCTGTAAATATGTATGTTAGTTAAGCAAAATGTATGTAAAGTGTGGATTGATTGAGAATATGTTTCTGTGTGTGTGCGCAGGCCAGTTTTGTTATCTCAAAATCTAGATTCTGGATCCTTCTATTCGTGGACTGCATTGATACATTTTACATTTAGCTGACGCTTTTATCCAAAGCGACTTACAATTGCTATATATGTCAGAGGTCGCACGCCTCTGGAGCAACTAGGGATTAAATGTCTTGCTCAGGGACACATTGGTGTCTCACAGTGGATTCGAACCCGGGTCTCTCACACCATAGGCATGTGTCTTATCCACTGCGCCATCACCACCCCGTTGATATGAACACTTCAAATGTACACCGTTGAGGATGGAGAGCCAACCGTAAGACAACGAGAGGCGCTTTTTTTTTGTCTTCGTGGACATCTGCATCGCTCCCAACTAAATATTTCATTGGGTTCTTGAAGGTTTGAAGTATTTACTACTTTTTGAGTACTGGATGGATCTTTCTTTGAAAGGAACTGAGGAAAGAAAATATCAGTTGTTATTATTCGGACTGACATTATTAAACTGTGCATTATACTTGAACCTTGTATTACATTCTAAGAGTTACTGATACTGAACTGATACACATTCATACGATTTTGTACATATTAATGGTTACGGTGTGAATTTGTATATGATTCCACATAGATATTGATATTTGGGTTTATTGCTTTATATTTGTTGTCCTTGAGTATACGTATTTGAGTTGTGTATAAGTTTGAACTCTAAAGTGCTAAAATTTAAATAATACTGGCATAAGTTCATCATATAGAAAAGAAAGGGGGAATCAAACCTAGAACTGAACATTTGAGTCATATACAATTCAATTCATTTTGGTTATTTTATTTGGTTAATAGTACAATTTAAAGTTGATTTATACACTTAAGTTTACATTTCTTTTGCTTTGTTTTTGGATTCCTGATCCACTCAATTTGTGTATTCTGTTAAATCCCAACAAACTATTTCACCTTACATAAATTAGTGCATTTAATTCATACCTGTGTGTGTGTGTGTACGCGCCCTTGCCTCTTACAAATGATTGTGTTTTCTGATGGTATTAATCTGGTCTACAGTGTTCCTACAAATAATCATCTATAGATTCTAGTGAACCATTATCCCTTTTACTGTGATTTAACCCCTAAATAGCCTGACAGGGGGTTACAAGTAACTGACTACATGTCATTTGGATTACATAATCGGATTACATAATCAGATTCCAAAATTTAAAGGGTTAGTTCACCCAAAAATGAAAATTCTGTCAGTAATTACTCTCCCTCATGTTGTTCCAACCCCGTAAGACTTTCGTTCATCTTCGGAAAAACAAATTAAGATATTTTTGATGAAATCTGAGAGCTGGATCACTTCTCCATAGGCTTCTTAAGGGATCGAAACTGGCCGGCCCAAAAGTTATGAAAGACATCGTTAAAATAGTCCGAGTGACTACAGTGGCTCAATCTTAAGTTTATCAAGCGACGAGAATACTTTTTGTGCACAAAAAACAAACAAAAAGAACGACTTTATTCAACAACTCTGTAAGGCCGTGATATATCATGTAGTGAAACTACGCAAAGCTTCTAGGTTGCACGTCACACGTAGGCTCACTATTGGCCGACGCTGGTCATGTGTGTGATGCGTGACGTACAACCTAGAAGCTTTGCGTAGATTCACTACGTGAAATATCACGGCCTTACAGAGTAGTTGAATAAAGTCGTTCTTTTTGTTTGTTTTTTTGCGCACAAAAAGTATTCTCGTCGCTTGATAAACTTAAGATTGAGCCACTGTAGTCACTCGGACTATTTTAACGATGTCTTTCATAACTTTTGGGCCGGCCAGTTTCGATCCCTTAAGAAGCCTATGGAGGAGTGATCCAGCTCTCAGATTTCATCAAAAATATCTTAATTCGTGTTCCGAAGATGAACGAAAGTCTTACGGGGTTGGAACAACATGAGGGTGAGTAATTACTGACAGAATTTTCATTTTTGGGTGAACTAACCCTTTAAGTACTTTTAGTTAGATTATATTATGTTTTTAAATACTCATAATCAGACTAAAGTTACTTTTTAATTGATTAAATGTTATTGGTTTTATGGTTTTAAATTATGGCTTTAAATTATTCATGATTCATTGATTCTCTACTACTTTTTTTTTTTTAAATGTTCCTTTCTAAAAAATGCCCTAAATAGGAAATAGTGTCATTGTTCAGCTGAAGTCAGTTCAGTGTTGATTCAGTTACATTGTAAAGATTATACATTATTAAATTAGTTAAAAATCGTCTATAGAGCAGCTCTGTAGAAAACAATGGCATCAGCCTTTAGAGTGCCATGCTACGTAAATTACTACGGTAATAGTAGACCATTTGGGGACTTTTGGCATACTCTTTTCAACACACCATGCTTTGGGACACAATTATTGTAATTGCACATCTTGTTATCATGTCAGGTTGAACATTGATGACATCTTGAACTGACATTAATCGATGGCAGTGATTTACATCACATTATAGTAATTCTTTCTGAAATAAATTTGTCATTATGCCAAAATGTATACATTGAAACCTAAACATTACAGTTTTCATAATCCTCAGTTTCATGTGAGTGACAGGTTGCTGGAATGACTGAAACTTGTCTGGCTACTGGACAAACTTATTGCCCAGCCCTCACACCCCTAAACGCATCATTAAAGGAGAGACGCATTAACATTAAAGATTACGAAGAAACATGTTTTTTTTTTTTTTTTTATTATTTTAACTAAAAAATATATATTATTATTTTAAAATAATAATAATTTGTGCATCCTTTATAATAAACACTGCAACATTCCATAAACAATAACAATTGCCAATTTTGATTTTGTGGTGACTTTAAAGTGGTGGGTATTGTTTGCTTCTTCAAACAGGTGTTTCATCAGGATAACTTTTAACTATCTCAGGTTAGTGTAGGATTACTACAGGGATTAAGTGCACTTGGAGATCCAAGAAATTAATTCTTGACACTTGTCACTGACATGCTTTGAAGATTTAATAATACAAATAAAAAAATAGTCATTTAAGTGTGGTACATTTTTTTTAACAGTTTTATTAACAGTTTTTGTGTGTAAATTAACCTGTAGGCCTATGCCAAAACTGATGTATATTTGTGTTCATAATGTGTTTAACAAATGAGTAATATATTAGATAAAGCTTGGATATGTTCATAAAAATTACAGCCAATGCATCAAGCTGCATAAATCTACAAATTTGGTAAACGAGGTTTAGTCATTGTTGTTACACTGAATGTAGGCTATTAAATGGCATCTTACATAAAGTAAACAATTACATAAAACATTGGATTAATGTTGGGTCTTCATGTTCAAGCTATAGTCACACGAGCCAATTATTTATGAATGTCCTCAAACCTTTTCGGTTTTTGAATGTCTTTCAGGTGCCATAGAATCAAAATATCATAACATTATCAAAAAGCCTTTTTTTTAAGTATGAAATTATCTCCTATTTTCTACATACCTGCCCCTTTTAGGTTATACAACCGTTTGAATCATTATATAAGTGCGCTATATAACACACCAATGGGACCTCAATCCTGACGTCACGTGCTTCTTACGTGAACGAGAGCGAGCGAGACAGACAGACAGTAGGTATCATTCTTTCCCGTATTAGTGCGAACCAAATGTAACATCGCAACTGTCTCCGTTTTGTTAAAACAAGTTATTCATATTTACAGTTTCCAGTGGCTCGTAAAAGACATGTACATCCTCTAGAAGTATCAGAACAAAAGAGTCCCGGAGAAGGACTGTTTCAAAAGATATTCCGATCGAAAGAGTTCTCGAGGATTACACAGAGTGCCGCTGCCGGAGACATCGGGTCTTACATAAAACTAATGGGTCATCTAAACGTCGGCCATGAAAATGGTTATATATACGTTGCTATTTTTTTTTTTTACCGTTTTCCTAAATAATAATTAGCATTTCATGTGGAGTAGCAGAAAATGGATTCTGGGATTCAAAATCACACCGAACATTGTGTGCACGACCTCTCTAACCCGACCGCACCGGGTTTGTGTGCGGAAATGCTCGGGGTGGCGGACGAGGCTTGCCGGGCTGGAGACTTCGATCTGGCCGCGGAGATCTATTCTTCTCAGCTAGCCGAGCTCGAGCACACCGACCGTGGTCTCTGTCTGCGGAAAGCTGATGCCCTGGCCCGTGGGGGACGCATAGGCGATGCGTTGGACTCGTACTGTATCGCTGCAAACCTTCAGGCACTGAGTCCCAATGAACTGCAGGTTTTAGTTGAAGTTATAGCGCATAAGATACGTACGAAAGAGCAGTGTGACAGTAAGACAATAAGCGTGGATTCTAACTCCGAAAACAGATGTTTTGAGAGTGACGAGTTAGAGGAAGAGCAGAACTTAGATTTGTTTTCATGTCGCCTTTGCAAGTGCTTGTTAACGGAGCCGACGTCTTTGGTGTGTGGACACACTTTCTGTAAGCGCTGTCTGGAAGATGACTTGATTAAAGAGTGCAGAAGCTGTCGTTTAAAAACGAACAAAACACCAAGCGAATTAAATGTGGACGGACTCAGAGTAAATGTTATTGTCAGTGGCTTGATTGACAAATGGTTCAATTCGGAAAGCAAAGCGAGACGATACTGGTTGGAGGGGGAATGTCTTTGGAAAAAACAGGACTTATCCAACGCCATACCGAAGTTCAACAAGGCGATGGAACTAGGTAAGAGACTGTTTTATTCTCATGTATAAGCGGCCTTTCACCCAATTTATTGCAGCGAGTATTTTATAAAGACCTGACCTACTTTCCGAGAGACTGATGAAACAGCCACAGGGGGCGACATTGTGCATCGTGCACTCTCTAAGACATTGTGCACTCTCAAAGATGTTTTGTAACAACGTGACTAATATAATTTACATATAATGAATTGGGGTTCATTGAGCTGTCAGGATGGTAAAAGTTAGGTACAGTGATGTCTTGTTGATCACAATTACCAAACAACAACCATTATCGTTGGTTTTGTTGCATGTTATCAGCCCAACCTAAAGTCTTCCCAAACAGTATGTCTACACATTTAATTATGCACAATAATGATTATTACTGAATTAATGCAGATATTTTGTTTACAAATTAATTTAGTTCAGGTTGCTGTGTTAGGCTCTTGTTTTAGCTCAAGTCTGGGTTTCTCAAAAGTATAGGTCATTGCATTAGACCTGCTCATTATTTGAAGTGTGAGAAATACACGCTGTCTCATTTTGAAGGATGTTCCCTCCGGGGGTCTCATTTGACAGCCACATATGTCAACCGTCTCATTTCAGAAAAGCAACAATTACATTTCAAAATAAGAAAGAAATTACAGTAATTGTGCTTCAAGAGGAATAATAGTCTTGGTTGCTTTTCTAAAATGAGATGGTGACCTGTATAGCTGACAAATGCGACCTACGGAGGGTGCAGCCTTCGAAATGATACCCTACAATAAGACAGCTACCAAACAGTGAAACCACTGGAAAGCAAAGACACTGTTAAAGGTTACATGCTTTGTCCAAACATGTTAGCCAGACATTGATTAAACTTAGACATTGATAACATTGATTAAATTATGTTAAAATTTGTATAACATAAATGTCATGTCTAAAGACATATAATAGGGGTGTGCATTGGCACTGCCCTCACAATTCGATTCGATTACGATTCAACACGTAACGATTCAATTCGATTCTACGATGCATTGCGATGCATCAAAATTCTACTGCACACAACAAGGCAACTCTTTCATCAGTCATGAGGCAATACAAGCAGTCAGATATTGAACAACAGATTTTATTGGCTGCTATGTGTGTATTATAACTCTCCTGTATCTTTGACATAAATGTCATTAAATAAAATAAAATTGAATGGTACAGGGTATTGGATATAGGGATGCAACGATTACAGATTTTCTAAGTACGATTATTGTCTGAGAAATAATCACGGTTTAACGATTATCACGATTAATTATTATGCATCAATTAATTTCACAACACTACTAATGTATAATATCACATGAACACTCAACACTAGATTTTAATGTGTTATTTATTGCTGCCACAACACAGTACAAAATTATAAAATGGCAAACAATAATCAATCTCTTCCTTTGGAATTAAAGAGAAGTGCTTTGTAAACATACAGCATTTTTCTTTTAAAAATAACAAATTAAGTCAAAGGCTGCAGGACTCTGATTGAAATAGATCACAAAATTATTAAGTTTTTAGTTTGTTCTAAATTTATGTTCAACCTGAGGTAGAAAACTTGATAACATGAAAACAATATCTTGTTGGTATTTGACTTAAAAATATAAATAAAGGGATAATAAATCCCAATGAAAATAAGAATAAACAAAGTATTTGGCTGGCTCTATTGAATTAAATGCAAGCTAAATATTAGGCCTATGTATTTCTTTTAAAAGAAAACAAATATAGTCCAAATGTTATCCACCAATATTATTGTACTTATTTTAATACTCTCTTTTTAATTATTAATCCAAATTTTACATGTGCCTTTAGAAAATCATCTATTATAATCTCATTATTTTGGTTTGTTTGTTTGAAGTTTAAGTAAAAATTATAGAAAGAAACTGAGAACATCTCTCATGCAGTGTTATTAATAACTGAAATGCAGTTAATTGGTAGTCCTAGAATGATCTTATGTTAGTGTTTTACACCGGGCATATTAAAACTACAAAGTCTTAAGATTTACTCAACACAGACAGGAGAAAGCAATAGGATATTAAGTTAAATGTTCACTGACTGAAACTCTTGAGAGCACGTCACATTCGGTTTTTCACAGACTTGCGTAACCAAAACATTCCGCTGTTTTTTTTTTTTTTTTTTTTACGTTACACTGAAAGCTGAAAGTTGCACGCCGCGTTCTCCTTTTTCCAAAGCGCTAGGGCGGTTGCGCTCCGGAGGCGTCTGTCGTTGCTCTTTAGTTCTTGTCACTTGACCTACGGTGCGCTTGCGGCATTCTGAAAAGTAGAGATGTTTTTATCTAGATGCGGCGCGGACGCGCTTGGAAAAAACGAGCGCTCATAATGGCGTCGCTTCCATTATGAGCGCTTACCGCGCGCCTACATTTGAAATAACGAACTTGAGCGCGCAAAAGACGCGATATCTGAACACGCACTTAAGGTGTTTTTTCGGTGGAAATAGAGCGTCGCTGCTTAGTCCCTCTGCCATTGTGGTTGACGAGCACGGCACTTTAAGCTGGTGCACCGCTGGTGTAACTTTGTTTTCGTTTTGTGTTAGGTGCAAAAGTTCCGTACTTTGCAGAACACTCGGTGTAGCATAGTCTTTACGATTAATTAACCGTGACGTTTTAAAGCGCGGTTAATTGTGAAATCCGGTAATCGCTGCATCCCTAATTGGATATGGCATTTTCAAACCTGAAAAAGAAAACATAAATCACTGCTTTCAGTGCTTGACGAATGTTTCTTTTCTCTCTGATTTAGAACTATTTGAAATTAAATAGAGAACTAACTCTATTAACTTTTCCCAGCAGTGACCATAAGTATTTTTTTACACACAGTAAAATAGCAGCTCTAAGACAGGGCACTTCCTGAACTCCTGTGCAAATATTAATCAGTGATCACAGTCACACTGACTATTGTAACAACAACCAACCAGGCACCAAGCAATAAACGTATTCAGTGCAACACACTGTAACCATTTACTGTGAAACTTTTTTCAAGTAGTAAAGTCAAGTGCAACTATTTTCAACAAAACAGCAGCTTAGCAGCTTTAAGACAATGCCAACAATTATATATGTAGACCACTCACCAATCACCAATCACATCAGCTGCATACAACAAAATATCAAGATGTGAAATACATTGTAATGTAAACCAAAAATAAAGTGTGTAGGCTTAGCCTACTACCAAATTGTGCAAACAACTTTTTCCGTCTGAGTTCAACATCACCATCATCAACAATCCGTTTCAGAGTGAGGAAATATATAGTTTGACCTAAGCATACATCATAACTTCTCACTGTTCAGCATTTGGGAATTTCAAGGTTCTTGTGTAAGAACACAAGCTGATCAACATGGTCCGGTTTGAGAGCGCTTCTTTTTGCAGTGATAACATCTCCTGTAGTGGAGAACACTCTCTCTGCTGACACGCTTGTCCCCGGGATGCACAAGTATCTCTTTGCCAACCTAGAGAGGAGAGGAAATGTGCCCTTATGGCGATGCCACCAGTCCAAGGGATCCTCCGAGAGAGGCACAGCTGGGGATCTACAGTACAAGTCCATTTCCTCCGCAGCACTGGCATTGGCGGTCTTACTTTGTACTGCAGGTTCACTGATGTCATTGAAAGCAGGTCCCAGCAAACTCACAAGCAGCGATGAGGCCCTTCTTTTGGGAGCGGAGGGGCCTGCTGAGTCTGACACATTGTCATCCACGGACAGCAACTCTTCCTTGGTTCCTGAACTTCCTGTTCCGCCAGGCGCTTCATCTGCTTCTGTCCTACGTCTCCTCTCATACTGTTTGAACAAAATAAATAAGAGCAAAAAAACAGCAGTTAGCAGCACGTTCTCAGCCAATGCTGCAGCTCACATGACAACAGATAACAATTTTTCTCAGTCTTAACATTTTACTGACTATGTAGCTGCTTATTTAACATTACATTGTTATTACAATTGAATTGAAAGTTATTCCATTCTAAGTTTTACAAGTAAAAATTAAATTACCTCCAGGGATGCAGCCTCTGAAGTCACTCCTGCGGAGACATCCAATCTCTCCTCCTCTTTCAGGAAAGGTAACCCCTTAAAGCGAGGATCCAGGGCAGAGGATGTATGAAGTATCTTCTTCTCTGCCCCACTGTTATACCTCTTAAGGAGATCTGTTTTGATGGCATTCTTCACATCATGTCAGGATCATTGGTTGGTCTCCAATAGTGTCTGACATGCTCTGGAGAAGTTGGGCATATACTGGTGCAATGAGGCTGACTGTAGGACTGCTCTCTTCTGACATAAAAACAGTGGCATCCTTCACTGGTTTTAATGTCTTCACTACTTCCTCCACGTTAGCCAGATCTGCTCTGCTGAGAGTGACGATGTCACTTTCATCTACATTTAGGGCAGGTGACAGCAGGGTGGCATGCACTGCAGCTTGCAGTTGCAAAAACCTCTCCATCATGTCATGAGCACTATTCCACCTTGTGGCGTCATCAGTTATTAGTTTAAGTGTACTTGTCAGTTTAAGAACAACTCTCTGGTTTTCTTCAAACAGGTGCTTTGCCTTTGTGCTGCGGTGGAAGTATACTGAGATACATCGGACTCTGCCCAGAAGCCTGGAGACCGTCGGTAGCTTAAGTGCTCGCTGCGCAGCAAGGTTCAACGTATGCGCAAAGCATTTAACATGAGGGAACTTCCCAATTTCAGCAGCACTTATCATATTAGCGGCATTGTCCGTCACCAGCACAACACTTTTATCTGTTAGCTGCCATTCCTCCACAACATCCAAGAGTAGCCTCGCCATATGAGCACCAGTGTGGCTCTCATAACTGCTCTCGTCTGTAGCACATGTGATACAATCTGCCAATCCTCGCTAATATAATGTGCCGATATGGTTACATAGGACTCTGTTGCGACTGAAGTCCAGGCGTCACTTTTAATGGCTACACGACTGGCTTTACTCATTGATTCCATTACCTTTGCTTTGGTTTCTTTGTACAATGCGGGAAG